CAGGAAAGCTAGAAAGCTGAAATTTTAAGGGGGTATTTTCTAACAGTACTGGCCGCCAGTCTTAATTTGTTTAGCTAGGAGCATTTGCCGAAAAAACCGGTGCCGGTAGCGACAAAAACTGCAGGGAACTATGAAAAAACGAATCTTAGCACGGGCAGCCCGTGCGTTGACTAATTATTTGATTTAAAACTCGAAACTGGGAATAATTCGACGTATTTAAAAAAAAATTCATTTGGAAGAGTGAGTTAGTTAAAATCAAGAAGACAATTGCGTTAGATGGATCAAATCTTGACATATTACAGATTTCAAAACGTCCTAGAAAGTACCAAACATTCTGTGCAAGCGGTGATCCGTATCATTTCTTGTATTTTTACACTGATAATTTATACCTTTGCAATATGTTGCGGATCGACGCAAACTGAATGTCCCAAAAAACAACCATCGCAAATCATGAGATTTGCGTGCTGAGGAAGTTTGTATTTCATTAGAACTTGATCCAATGGCTGCAAATTGTTGAATTTATGCAAAAACTGCTGGATATTTTATAAATTTAAGAAATAATTGAAATATTAGTTACGAGGCTGCGTATCGAGAGATGCACCTAAAAGTAAAAATTTTTGTCTACTATAAACGTGTGCTGGGCAAAGGGGCTGGATCGGTCGTGTGGCAAGGATGACAAAAATCAAAAAGAAAACAAAAGGCCAGCTGGCCAATACTCTAGACATTCCGAAAGAACATATGAAAAGCCACCGACATACTGGGCTATTCTGTTAACTCGAAATTATGGAATGCTGTGAATGCGGAGAGCCCAAAACTGAGGCCATGGCATGGTTGTTGTATACGCCACTGTAGAACGTGCTGGCCATGAAACGATGTCAGCTAGTAGTCGCTTCTTGGGTATTTAAGTGTAGACTGTACCATATTTGAAATATACAACTGAAGATGGAATTTTTCAAAAACAAGACTTTTAGAGAGAATTCAGCATGGAGGTGAAATTCCCTGCACGCAGACATGACAAATACTCAATTTTATTAGCAAACTCAAAAGCGAGTGCTCTTTACAAATTTTATAATCCTCTTCCGACTTCCTTCAAATCTGCATTTTTCGAGTGAACGAGCATTCACGGAAAAACTGCCGGGCTTCATGCAAAAAAATGATAATCGTGCATGCTGGTGGTCCACGCAATCGCATAATGCAACACCTTTATCCCACCCTATGTCTTTTTCCCACTGCGTACGAGAAGGGGCCAGGCATGGTCACCAAGTATCAAATTATTGCGCTAATACCGTTTCTGCTGTTAGTAATGTACAAGTTTAGCGCAAAAACGCATGATCGCACCAGCAAGCTTGGTGCTTTGCAGCCTGAGGTTTTATCCCCGAATGTTTTCCTGACTTTACGGCCGTGAAAAAATGCTCAGTGTATGACGCATTTTGTTACTTTAATAAAGCGACTATAAAAAGAAACCTCAGTAGAGCCATGCGCAAAATTCTTATCGACAATCGCGTCCCAGTAGTGTTGCTCTTGCTGCCATCCAGTAGTAAAATAAAAGGGTAGGCGAGTTTCGACTATGATAAAAGCTGGATGAACCGGCCAATCTCTTTTCACTTTTCTGAGCAACCAATGCACCTGACGCCAATTCTCTCGGTGCTAAAATTGCTGAGTGAATTCAGGTTGTTATATCTAAAAGTAGAAGGTCCGGCATAGCTGCATTCGCAAATGAGAGCATTCCAGTAACAAAACTAGTTGTTCGGTTGGCCCTGCTGATAGATACGACAATAACACCGTGGCAAAGCCTGCGAAACGCATGAAGCTGCACTGAAACGAATCCAGAAGTACTGGGCCAGCTAAAATGTTCATCCCAAAACACTGCAAGAGGAGGACCTGCCTCATTAGCTGGTAAATAACATTCGTGTTCAAAATAACAGTGATACTTCAGAATCTCAAGAAAGTCCAAAGACAAAATCTCCTCCACGTCCATTGTCTATGATAGACGGCAACATACCAAAAATACCATAATAACACCACCCGCTGGCAAGGATATCGTCGCGGGCTTCCTCTTTTGAAAAACAAACTCACAATAATGTACGTTGGTACTGAGGAGGCCCACAGAAGTTCAAATTCATAGAGGTGCCCCATCTTGTCTTTGTAGCGGATATTGCGAAAAAGTTGCATATAAACAGACGAATAACGATATTGAGTTGGATTGTCCTCTTGCGTGGAATGCAGTGAGTCTGTCGTTGAACCTAAAACAACGAATTTATAAAACCTATTGCATCAAGAAAATATTTTTTAACCATCACACACTTCGCTGAACTCAAAAAGATGCTCAGATCTGTCAGCGGACAGGCGCTTCCGCATGGTTCTTTTTACTTGTAACAACCTTGAACAGGCAGGCGAAAAACAGTGCAATGTTCGAATCTTTGCCGAAGCTGTGCGCATAATTACTTTCGGGATAACTCTAGGAAGATTCATAATTCCTAAATTCGTAATTTCAGCAAAAATCGAGAAATTCACATTAAAAAAAAATATGATTTAATGATACGGCATACCAGATGATGCATGTGTGCAGGATTCGCGAATATGCATGTAGCCGTTGGGACGAAGCCATTCGAGGGTTTTTTGCAGGAATGCGATCACCTCCTCATTGCTGAGATACATCAACAACCAGTTAGTAAAGACAAAGTCCACACTGCAAAAACAACAAATCCATGACGCTGCACTATTGTGAAAGATTAGTTCTTTGCAAAAAATATTACTACATTTTGTAGAATTACATGTTGAAATCATACATTATATATAAGACAACAACAGTCTTAGCTGGTGATTCCATATTAGTCATGTTACCGGAATATTTTCACTAGTTAGGTGCAGCTATGTCAAGTTTTTTGGCCCTAGGCCCCATATCAGACAGGTTTCTAACAGACCGTTTTGGTCCTTACCACCTGCTGCTCGTCTATGAGCATCGCCATGAAAGTTGCCCGAAGTGACCTTTTATTTCCTCGGGGATACCATTCACCGATACTTTGCATTCGCTCGTTATAAATATGCTGAACCTTCACTTGCAGAAATGTGGTTTCATTGCATTAATGATTTAATAAAACACACAGAATCAAAATTAAACGAAAGAAACATTTTCGAATTTAATTAGAAGTTATGGATTAGTGATGTCAGCAGAACGATCATACAAATCGGTGGTGGACGGCTAACAGACACGACCGGCCACTGATGGATTTTAAGCGCTTTCTGAAAAAAACACTGATGCAAAAACTTCGCCGTTCACTTGCCTCGATTCCTTCAGTTTCAAATCCGTCGCACTGCAGATGCGATAGCTTATATTTCCTCGTTCCGCATTTCTTTTCTGATTTGTTTCCACAAAATCTTCAATGAAGTCTGTTGCCAATACGCTGCTTGCTGATTGTGCCAATGCACCAGTAAAGCGCCTCAAAGTGAAATTTTTTCATTTTCTTAAATCACCAACATATAAGAAACTGGAAACTAAATCTCAATGTTGCCAGTTTAAAAAAAAGCCTAAGCTGAAATAACCCCTAAAGTGCAAACTCTCTGTAGTCCAGAATGTTTGTTTTTGTTATTATTCGCAGTCTGTGTGCTAGAGGCACTGATAAGAAAACTGTAGTCCGAGCTCAGTGCCATTTGCCTCTATACAAATCCTGAAATTTTTTTTTAAGCCCATATCAGTCAGAACATATTCGACAACGCAAAGCAAAGATGGAAGAGGCACATAAATTTAAACTTGAGCAGAAATTTCAACCTCCGATTCTGATTATGCGAAAACGTCTAGCTACTGGTGGTGGTCCATCGATACAAAGGAGAGAAGCGGTAAAAACAACGAATGCTAGCACTTTTTGAATTTTTTATCTATGCTACGTGTACTAACCCAATTCCAGACCCCACTTCGACAATATCCATGCCTGTCAAATCCGGTAAATCGTCCAAAATATCGCAACGATCCGGAGCTTCAATTTGATCAGCGCTAGCATTCAGCATCATTGTTCGATTATCGCACTGCTTTGAAAATTTACTCCAAAATTTCTTACAGGCTTCATCACCGACGCTGCTGCTCATCATTATCCTGCACTGGTGTTGCTCACTCTATGTAATTCTTGATTTCAGTCACAACTGACAGTGATGCCTTAATGCTTGATAAAAATCACATCTTTACAACAGTGGTACTAAAGTGTGTTTAAAAAAAATCTGACGTTTCGCTGTCTGTCGCTGGACGGTATCCAGTAAAAACTGGTGGCTAAAATACCAAGGCTGATTTTTAAAATCGGGACAAATCTTTATCTGTACAATCGATTAATACACAAAATTAAAATTTGGTCAATAATTTGAAAATAAATTTTTAATTCCTTTACCAAATACTACTGTTAAGTTTCACCGCCATAATAAACACTGTGATGGAGCTCCAGCAGCCCAGCAATCCAAAAAAGAGGACCTTGGTAGTTTATAAGCATTGGGTAGCTCACAGATCATCATAACCAAATATGCCACCCTTCATTTGTATTAATTCATTCCTCCACCTTGCACCCGGGAAAACCTGCCTGGACTAGTGAAAATTTGAACTAAGGAGCCGGAAAGCACTTCTCGGGTTTACTGTTTATTAGCATATGGACGCGACGAAAATGAAATCTGAAGTTTTTAGGTCATCGACTACACGCTTTTAATTAGTTGGTACAAATGTTGATGACCAGTGACCAGAAATCAAACTTGAAATTCAACAGTCTATTTGTTTATGAACTCATTATGATGTGCAGGGGTTAGCACTTCCTATACCTCCAAAATGAGCAAGCAATGCAATCGAAATTTTGGTGCTTTTCATGCGCTGGATTGGATGAAAGCAAATGCTAGTGGTGCAATTTTTAAGAAACTGTATAAGTTTACTGCAAAACCGTGCCATCCATATGGTGCGCTCATGCGAGCAGAGAACAGACTATGCGTAGACAACAATGGAATAAATGGAAATTATCAAATCACACTGTAAAGGGTGCAAAAAGCAAGAAAAATGACCCCGAAAAAATCGCTACAAATTAACCTGCGGCCTCCATACTTTGAATAAAATGTTAATGATACACATTTACGATGGGATAAGCCAAGAAACAGAATTCTGGATGGATCACGAAACGAAGCACCCCTGCATATTAATTTATTAGCGCTATCACACATTTTTCGTGTAGAAAAGAATGCATGACTGGTCCCTTATCTGTGATACTATTTAAAAGAACAACGGGAGTTTTGGCCAAATAAATTTTCCTGTATTTAAAGAAAAAACTCTAAAAACAGAAGATAACCGCCTGTGCACTAACTTCTGAAGAATAAAAAGTACTGTATTAACCGCCGACTACGCAGCAAACTCCGCTACGCTGACCTCTACCTCACACAAGCACTGAGCCTTCCTTGAGAACTCCCCTCTTTCCTCCTCCAACATTTTCAGCAGTGCTCGTGCTGTTCGAAAAACATCGACACTACATCGTGAACATGACCTCCTCTCGACGTCTGCTGAATTTGATATCAATATGTAAGGCTCATTATAAGTGGGGAAGACTCAGATCGCCTGAAGATGACCGCAGCTCTTATTTTTGCTTTGCAAGCACTTTTGGAAGACTTCAGTAGGTTGACAAAGACATTCAATGTTCTGTTGGGAATTAGCACTACATTTTTATGCTAGGAGACTGAAATTTTGCGAGGAAGTTTCCTGTCCGAGTACAGCCTTGCAAACCTAAGACTGCATCTCGCGAGCGGATATATGAAGTTGAACTTGCAAAATACATAGCACTGTTTCAACACCATAATCGGACAAGCTAGGTAGCTTGAGTTATGTGGGCGAATTCTCCGACTATGCATCGATCTTTAGATGTATAGACTAGTTTCAGTTTAAGTACCAGGCAAGATCGAAATCGAAATTTTCTAAACTTGGAGTGCACAAGACACGTATTTAAAATTACTCGTGCAAAAAAGAGTAGTCGGAATCGAAGTAGAAACGATGGGAATTGCACAAACATACAAGGACTTGAATAGCCGTGTGAAAAGCATACCCGATCAACTGTTGCAAGTTTAGCGGGCAAAAAATAGACATGTCAGAAATCATTAGGAAACTGGATTGCACAGTCTAGCGAGCATACTGTCCTTATCAGCAGTACATTTGCTCAAAATTTTCTGAACAAGAACCATGATGGCTGACTGTTACAATGCTGCTTTAATGCTGTTGGTTTCTGCATCTAACCAGAGTGTCGACATTTCCTGCTTCTTTGAAATGAATTTTTCCTCTGCGTAGTTTTTCAAACTCATGCTCCTTAGAATTTTTCAGACTTGAAAATTTTCTAGTTTTATCAAAATGATGACCTGAGCTTTCGTATTTATCGCTGAACTAATGATTTCGAACAACTGGCCTTTCGCCCTCCATTCCTCTCCCGCATCAGTTCCCCTCCACACCCCTCATTCTAACACTCAAAATTCGTACAAAATAATTTTGTGTAGTTTCTGAAGGGGGCGAACCGGGTTCTTAATTTGTTTCTCCGTTCAAATTCTTAATATTCTCGGTCCCAGTAACTTTTTTGACAAAAAGATATTTTAAGCATGGTGGAGATTGGAAAAATTTATGATTTTTAAAAAGATCTTTGTAAATTTGTGTTATTTTCTAGAAAAAATCACTAAGAAAAATTAGACATCGTGGGTAGGCGAAAAATTTAAATAATTATAAACTTAGACGAGAGCGTACCGGCTGCTGGTACGAGGATGCGCTTTTTGCACAGTTCCCCCGCAGGTTTTTTTTGCCAGTGGCACGCTCTTCCCGACAGATGCTTCTGGCTAGAAGAATTGTGACTGGCCACCACAACTGTTGGAAATTATTACAATGACTCCCAATCCATGCCCAGAAAAATCAGCGCTCTGGATGCTTCGGTTGCGCAGTTACGTCAAATTTCACGCGTTCGTACGTGAGTGGTGGCGTGAGCGCTTTCTTCGTCCGCGGTTGGTCAAACACGGTCCTGGATAGCGCTAAGAAAGTTTCAGCACTCCAGCTGCTCTGGTTGCAGAGTTACATCAAATTTCACGTGCTCATACGTGAGTGGCAACGTGAGTGCTTTCTCCGCCTGCGGTTGGTCAAACACGGTCTTGGGCAACGCTCAGAAAGTTTCAGCATTCTAGGTGCTCTGGATGCGGAGATACGTCAAATTTCATTCGCGCACACGTGAAACGTACGTGAGACGTGAAAGTGATGTGTAAGTCGTTTTTGCTTGCATCCGGTCAAAGGGCACCATCGGTTATGCTCAGAAAATTCAGGGCCTCTGGCTGGTTCAATTCT